GCTGCGATGTCGCCGCCCGACGTGTCCGCTCGACCTTCCACTGCTGCCGCGTCTTTTTCCGCCGCTTCCATACTGACCGCCAGGGTGTATGCTTTTCCAAAATCGATTTTATCTTCCGTGAACAGCCGTTGCCGTATGGACTCACTGCTGACGCCGCATTCCAGTTGGTCCCGCAAACTTTCCTCTAGCCAGTTACCGAATTCACAGGTCTTTGACATTTTTTTTCAAAATGGCTACGTATTCCGAGATTGATTCGTTGATATTTTACTTCCGATGGCGGGATTTGTATCTCTCCGAAAGTATACTGCATTTGGGCTGTAAATATCTTTCGAGAATTTCTGTTAATTGCTTGAACGATTTATTCGACGGTTTCTCCGGTGTACAAAGGTTAACCAAAAGTACACAGTACGGGTTTTATTTGTATTTTTATTAGCAGCTAAAGCAAAACTATTTTCCCTTACCATAATTAAGGGCGTTGGATATTTCAATATCCCTTAGAGGACGCGACGAAGATGACGAGGAAGTAATTCTAAAAGAAGAAAATAAATTATTAAGAATCAAAATATTAAGTAGACACTTCTGCACATAGAATATATATTTATTAATAGGCACTCACAGACGCCGTTTAGCCCCCATGTCATTGTGGTCCGATCTGAAAAAATAATGTTGTTTTTTGATTTCTATCGTAATAGTTATATTCGAACAGTTAACAGTTCAAAGTCAAATACTATCAATATTTAATAAAGCAATAAAGGAAAAACTTACGCATTTCGCTTTCGGGACGTTGGAGTCCGATTAGGTGTGGAGGTTCCACTCCCTCCAACTTCAACGTGTCTGTAAAACATAAATAGTGTTAAAAATACGTTATTTTATGACCAGTTACGAAAAGTTTAGCTTCAAAATATGAATATAAGTAAAAACTTACAAAGCAGGTGAAGGAACTGAGCAAAGCTCCATATCAACTACTGCTGGTTGGGCCGCTGCAGCTCGGTCCTCCTGAGGGCTCAGCGGCTGGGTCAGGTGATTGCCGGTGAGGAGGTCCATGGACGACCACAACGACACCGGCACGGGACTAAAAAGAAAGTTAAATTCAATGCCCTGCACGTGAATCGAGTAACAAAACCAACTTCGAAGTGCTTACCCTCGCCTTGCGGCAGGCAGTACTCGAGGTCGCCGCTGAGTCAGCGGCCGCTCTAGAGGCCTCCCCACCGGCAACTCCCCCACCATGCCACAGTAAACTCTAAAATATTAATGCAGAATATTAATGTTGCTAAAAAAACGAAGAAACTTGTTAGTTGTTAAATTTGTTATTACGGATCAACAGCAGAAGGCCTTTCGGTGTGGCCAGCACCGCTAGTGGGCCCACCACGCGTCCGCGCACCACCAGTGTGCGCATGCGCCCCTTCACCACCAGTGTGCTCATGCGCCCCTTCACCACCAGTGTGCGCATGCGCCCCTTCACCACCAGTGTGCGCATGCGCCCCTTCACCACCAGCGTACGCACCACGCCCACGCCCACGGCCACGAGCACGACCACGTCCACCTCTTTAAAGAAAAAAGCAAAAACAAAAAGCATGCAAACCAAAGAGAAAATAAACACAAAAATGCAAGAGATACGCGAGACATGAATGCAAAAGGTGCCCTTAGAGCTAATTTAGTAATGTCCATGCGTAACTTTTTTAACTTACTATAAGACGTCTAGAAAATATGTAAATATTATTTTTGGAGAAATTTTTTGAAAAAAAAATTGGTTGTCAAAGTTAAAAATAAAATTATTTATTTTTAAATTTATCATCGTGCAACAAACACTTTTTGTCCCAAACAATTTTGGGCTTGGACGCTCTTCAAATGCCTTTATCTCGGCCCAGGTTCGTCTAAGTCCAAAACTGTTCAGGAAAAAATTGTTTGTTTGGGTGCCCCCCCGACACGACGCAAACGAAGAAAAAAGAAAAAAGAAACAAAAATGCTGTATTTTTATCTTGGTACCTACTTGGTACTTCAAATACCTAAATATCTTTGCTCAGGTTCATCCAAGCCCAAAACTTTTTACGACAAAAAGTGTTAGTATATGCGCCCTCTACATGATGCAAACATAAAAAATAAAAAATTACAAAAATTCTGCTAAGTTTTTTCGCTCCCATATTTTATATTTATTTATTTTATTTATTTAATATTCTTTATTGCACACCATACAAAGCATACAGAAATGACATACTACAAAAAAGTATGCAACTTCCACTATATCTCCACAGTAACTAAATGTTTATGCAATTAAAAGTGATGTAACATTACATGCAAAATATTTAAAAATAACTTCAAACAGAAAATACAAAAGCGTATCTATAATTTCTAGCATGCCCGACATGCCGCCGTTATGACGTCATCAACTGCCAAAACCCTGTCTGTGCCCCTGCCGACTGACGGTAAAGAAATAACCTTCACGTATTTAGACCCAAAATTAAAGTTTTCAAAGCTAAATACACGTTTACCATTGTCATCCATTGCAAATTAATTACATTAGTAGCTTAAATTCTCCAAAACATTACGGTTTCATTCACTTTTTAGACCAAATATTGCAGAAATAAAAGTACGTTCATAGTTCGTTAGACGGCTATGTCGTTGGTTTGGCCTGGTTTTTACAATTAAATTAGCAAAATTATATGTTTCCCAGTAATAAAAATGTGAAAGTACTTACCTTTCCATGGTTTCTCCTTCAAATCACAACAAATTTGATTCAAGAAAACTTATCAAAGGCGTGACAAAACCGGAGTCGGTTGGTTTGACAGCGTCCAATTTGAAGTGCCGATATTTTTTTTTTACGGAGCAAAGAGTAACAGTAAAGCAGTTTGACACTGAGTATATATTATTAGTCTATGATTTCAAGTGTCGCACCTAAAAAACGCATCGTAGTTCCGTCGTAAAGAGCGCGAAAACATAAACAGGAAACGATGCCGACTGCTGGTCGGCTCACAGACGCGCAAATAATTTGACGTGCCGACTGCTGGTCGACGCACAGACAAGGGGTTAAGTAAATTATTCATATTTAAAAAAAATGATTCGGCGACGGCAGGAGCAAAATACAGTTACTTAGTAGTTAAGATCGGAATATCAGTAAAATATTTCTCAAAAATTATTGCAACATCCTCATCGGGGTCATTTAATGGGTTGTAAAAACTTAACTGGTAGTTTGAATTGCAGGAGTTGGAACTTACCAGTTTCGCAATTAATTATAATCCATGTCATTTTAATTTTATTAGGGGCCGTCTAACTATTGCTGCGCAAATGTAAAGAACTGGCTGTGGAGCACATTCTTTTAAACATTTTTGAATATATTTTTTTACATATTCCCTATATTCGACGCTAGGATTATATTAAAATGTATATTATAAAAATATAAAAATTAATAAACAATTTATGTTTATTAATTTTTATATTTTAATAATGTTTCATAAAAAATTCTGGATTGTTTATGTTTTTTTTTATAGGATTGGGTGACAAACAAGCACACAGTCCATCTGATGGTAAGTGGTTGCTGTGGCCCATAGACATCTACATCTATCTTCGTTTGCGATCAAAATGCAGATGCGTTGTCACCCGTGAGGGCTAAGCTGGAATGCCTCTTTTCCAGTAAAAAGGTTCTCCGGTTCTCTACACTAACCATACGAAACACAGCAGTATTAAGCTGCTACTTTACGCTGGTATTATGTGAGAGTGTGGTCCTTTCCTGGTCGAGCCGACCCATTCGTGCTACAGCTATACTACTAATATAGCTGCAGCATGGCTCTACCACGTACAAAAAAAAATTGTTTGAAAGCGATGGATGTTTTTTCACTATGTTACTTCAAAACTTCTTTGAGCGACGTGCATTTATTGGAATAAACACAACTTTCTCATCTACTTGCATTTTGTGAACATAATGTAAGAAAACTAATTGCCCACAGTCATCAGAGTTCAATTTTTAATTATACATTTATGCACGGCTTAGCATTTGTAAAATTTTATATACTATACATGTTTGCTCTAAAAAAAGACCATATGATTTAAACAATGATCTAAATTTAATATTGGTGGAGGTAGCTTCTATGATATAGATATTAAAGTCTCCACATATTACAATAGACTTATTTCGTTTATTAAGCTTAACAATAACTTCCTCAATCAGTTTTTCAAAAGTATCGTATATAGAACACGGGAGTAGACGCTCTCAACAATGAGACTCTCAATATCTTTACTTTCTTTACATGATAATAATATACTAACCAATAGTAACGACCCACCTCTTAAAACCGTTTCTCTATTGAAAGAACTGACTACCTGGTGATTACTGTAGTTAAACATTAAGCTTTTAGCCAATGTTCAGTAATACATAAAATATGCAAACTGTTGCTATTTAGGAACAATTCAATTTATAGGTCTATGTCTACCATACTTTGTATATTTTGATGCGCCACGTGTAAATAATTTTATTATCACTTTGTGGAGTCATACAATTAAGGATTTTTAAGCTATATTATAAACTATTAAAATTATTATAACTGCTAAAGATTACCACCATTGTCTCATTTTCTAATTTAAATTGCTTGGAACTGATTTCAAATTGCATCCTGCCCTGAAATTGAAAATTGCATTTTTTTAAATTTGTGACTAATTGAAATTACGTTGGGTAGTACTTGATACTTTCGCTTTTTTGTTTTTGTCTAGCCTTGTTTTGCCTCCCGGGAGCAAGAATGAGTTATGTTTAATTTGCACCGACTAATGGTCCGAGGTATTCCACCTTCATCGTATAATGCCAGGGCTACAGGAACGCTTCCGCTCACATCTGCAGATACACTAGTCACGTCAACCGTCCAAGAAGTGCTTTCCTCCATGATCTTTGTCTTCATGTTTGTTAATCTACTGCTAAAATAAATAAAGGCCTTTGCAATGCGCTTGAATAAAAAAATTAGTATAAATTGTTATAAAATATTTTACCTCTTGTTTATTTACAACTTTCTTTTCAGGTAACAATTATTACTTCTATGCCTGAAGATAAACCAGCGCCCAATGCTAGAGAAATCGATGTTGGTGAAGAAATTCGCAATTTCCTAAGTAAATAAATACATTTTACTTCAAAGTTTATAGAATAGTTGATCTATTTTTTACCTTGTTTATTTATTTACTGCAGATGACGATGTAAACATACAGAAAATAATGGAAAAAGATATTGATGACATGAATTTATATCTTTTATTTACAATGATGAAAGAAATTTCTATTAAGACACTGGAGAACCCAAATATGCAAAAGATATTAAATGATCCGAAGGAAAAATTTGATCTAATTATTGCTGAATGGATGTTTAATGAATTATATGCTGGGTAAGTGTCCGTTATATAATATGCTAAGTGTATGGAGTATACATTTGATACAGAAACTTTGCAAATTAAATTATTAAGCTAACATTACAATGAATAATTATAATACGTTACAGACATTTTTATATAAATTTCACGTGTATGATGAAACGATAAGCAACCTGAGTCAAGATAAGTAAACAAACTATCTAGATCAACAATTTCTTTATCTTTGGTCACAATAATCTGATTTAAATGTGAAAATAATATTAAGGAAAAAATTATGTTTCATATTTTGTTTTTAGACTTCCAGCGATATTTGAATGTCCTTTCATATGGTTCTCAACAGTTGAACCACACTGGTTGATATTAAGAATTATCGACGAGTTACCAAACCCAGCGTACAACTTAAATGTCGTTTCTTATAATTCGCCACCTTTTACATTTATGCAGCGAGTACAGGAATTGTTTTGCCAAATTTCTGGTGAATTTTATCAATACTTGTAAGTTATACTCAAATGTGTTTATGCTTACTTTGCTTCTTCTTCGTCAGCCATAAAATAAGTCTACTGCTGGACATGCGTCTCCCCAGTTGCTTTAACCGTCACACGCCAGACCTCGCACGATTGGTTATTTTACATTTGGCTGCACCTCTGCGGGGTCCAGTTTCGAATCCCCCAAGAGTCCAGTATTTTTTTTGACCTTGACTTAAATGACCTTGAGAAATAGTTTTCGGTCTGGTTATTTGTCTTTGAAATGTATTCTGTTAAACGCGCCCACGATGTGGCAAAAAATCCAATTGCAGGGAAAACAATTTTTAACAATTTTTTATTTTTTCTTAACTTTTCTCCTAATTTAACATGGCATTAACTCGATAAAAAATAGATATTTATTTTCATCTGTTTTATAACGGTTTAATTTAATTGTTTTACAGTGTGTTCTCTCCTATCGAAAATAAAGATTATGAACAAATTATCGCTCCAATTGTTCGAAAAAGAGGAAAATCTGTGCCCTCATTTGAGGAATTAAAAAACAATATTTCTTTAGTTCTTGGAAATTCTCATGTGTCAATTGGGCAGGCTACTCGCTTACCACAAAGCTACAAGCCTATTGCAGGATATCATATTGAAAAAGAAGTTAAACCTTTACCACAGGTACAACAAGGAAACATTTTTTCAAATTAAAAAAAAAACTGTCCATTAAATTTTGGTCATTTGCCCATGCTTTGTGTATGTATATAATGCATTTCCTACCAGCATTTCCCTGTTCTCAAATATTTTCCAATGAAATAACTAATAATATATAATAATGCCAAAAGGCCATTATACATTAAAAGCTGAGATATGTAGTTTCAGGATTGAATTATTGATAAATCCTATCCTTTGCCATGTGTTTGCGGTATGATTAATACATTACCCCCTTTCTGAACCCTAGGTTCAAATAGTTGCCTATAAGCAAAGCCAAAAAATTTATGGCTTTAGATAGATGACGAAATAATTATTCCGATTAAGACAGGTATAAAATAACCAAACTGGTTAGATAATATCTACTCTATGCGATTGATTGACGATAGCGAATATATTAAATACAATGTTATGAACAGAATTGTGTTATTAGCATCATAATATTTTTTTTTCATCATTAGCCCCTACCATAGCTCACGTGGCTTACTGCCCTACATGAGCCTCACCTGTTGTGTGAATATAATTGTTTTATATATTTTTATTTTATTTAAAACTTTATTGTTCTTACCAATAAAAAGGGTTACAAAGGGCGGACTTAATGCTAGTTAGCATTCTCTGCCAGTCAACCCATGGAAATTAGTAGCAGGTGATTTAAGTAACTAAATATAATAAATTTATATAGATATAACACATATTAAAATAAAACTTATAAATTACATAAATGCATATGAATATAAACAAATACATAATAATCCATATATAACAATTATCCTTAATACATATATACATATACACACACATAAATACATACATAATATGTCTGGATAAAGGTAGCAATATTGGTATTATTCAGATGACATTGTTTTTGAGAGATGTTCACGGACCAATCTTTTGAAGGCTATCTTGTTTGGTGCTTTCCTAATGTCTTCAGGTAAGTAGTTCTAGAGTAGTGCAGTTTGAATAGTAAAATAATTGCCGATAAAGCCAGTAAAATGGAGTGGAACTGAAATATTCACATTAGTTGAAGAACGAAGTACCTTGTCGTGGAGGAAATTTATTGAAATATCTCTTTAAGGTAGGAAGGGGAGGACAAATTATTTAAAATTGAGTAGAGAGCAGACAATATTAAGGAAGTGCGCCTTTCTTGGATAGTTAGCCATTTAAGGTGAATACGAAATTGAGAGATATGGTCATATTTTCATATGGTATATATTTTGCCTTGCGGCACACCAGAATCAAGACTTAACCACTGGGAAGTCTCCTCTCTTTCATGAACTGATTGCTGGCGGTCGCGAAGATATGAGGAAAACCATTCAAAGATCGAGGGAGCAAATTTAAGATGAGACAGGACACATAGGAGTATATCGTGGTTAACTGTGTTAAAAGTGTTAGAAAAGTCTACTTATACCATCACTGCTACGTTTTTGGTATCCATTCAGTGTTTTATATTCTCAGTAACTTATAGTAAAGCAGTGGTGGTACTGTGACCAGAGCGAAAACCAGAGTGATAATCATCCAGTAGGTTATTTTTGGATAATTGGAGATATGCTTATATACACAGGTCTCTAAACCTTGGAAAGCAAGGGCAAGATAGATATGGGACGAAAATGGTCAGGGAGTAAGGGGTTTCAAACTTCAGGAAGGGGACGCACATAGCCTTTTTTCCAAAAGGTTGGATACTGACCAGAGTCTAGAGAAAATTTTATAATATGCGTTACAGCTGGTAGAATATAATCTAAGATGTTAACTGTCACAACACAACCCACGGCCCTGGATTTTATTACCAGTGCAGCCATTCTAACCTCATCCTGATAAACCGATGAGAAATGAAAAACTGAGGTATGACAAGATTGGATTAAAGCCAATCAAGCTACAGTTTGAGCACGAATTGCAGGATCCATTGCGGTAGCAGAAACGAAATGCAGATTCAAGTTATTAAGACAAAGAGAAGGACCGCAATCCGGGGTGGGTACCTTACCCACACTAAAAGGTTTTAGAAATTTCCAGACATCGGCTGGCGAAGAGTTACAAATATTAGTATGGATATAGCGGCGTTTAGCGTTACGTACCATCCGATTGCATCGATTCCTATGTAACATAAAGGCTTATCAATTTTCCTCCGTTTGTTCCCTTATAAATCGATGAAAAGCCCGATTCCGTCTAGTCATTGCTACTCGAACAATCTCTGTCATCCAAGGAGCAGGAGCATGCTTTTATCTAACATTGTGTAACTAAACACTAGAAGTAGTTTTGGGAGGACTAAGCTTATAAGAAGCGTAAATTAGGCCAGACCAGGTTGACATAATCAGGAGAAGCAGTAATAATAAGATCAAGCAATGAGTCATCACAGTCTATATTGCAATGAATAACCCCTAAGGGAAGAATGTGAAGGTTGACAGACTCAATCATTGAACGAAGTTTTCCAGACCGAGAAGAAATCTTGAGTATATCAGTATTGAAGTCGCCAACGATTATGCAGTGCTCGCATTCAGAACCAAAATTTTCTAAAGCCATTTCAATAGAAGAAAAGTAATCAATAGTAGGGGGGCAGTACACTACCCCAAGAAACATCCTTTTACTAATTAAATAAACAGGAACTCAGAGGAGGCAGAGTAAGTAGGTGGAGATGTTAAATTATTTTGTAGATAATTGAATTGTTCAAATATATGGCAACACCACCACCTTTTTTGTCAATGCGATCATTTCTAATAAGAACAAAATCTGGTAATGAAAATAAGGTAGAGTGTAAAGAAGGTTTTAGCCAACTCTCTGACACTAGGATTGCGTGTACGCGTTTAGAATAAAATGAAGATTCAAGTTCAGAAAAATGACTCTGGATACTTTGGGCATTTACATATATGACAAATATTCAACAAGTCATCAGAAGTTTAAAGATATTATCTATTTGAGAATTTGAAGATATTAAGCTACCTACCATTCTTAAAGTCATTTCAAGACGTTAAAGAAAGTTCTGAATCATAAATTGGATGAAAACATTCAGCATCAGACATATTAATATAAAACAATAATTAAATATATTAACATAAATATAAAAAATTCAAATAAAAAAAATCTAAAAGAGTTCAACAAAAGAATTAAGATTTCAAACACTCACATACACCATCCCACTGGTTGGCTTTTTACATGGCAAATTAAATAATAATATGAAGGTAAAGAAAAAGTACGGTATGCAATTTAAAATCTCAAGAAATAAAAATTAAAAATATAAAATATTCTTAAAATTAACATAAAAATGTATGCACGATAAGTCTAAAAACACTATTAAAATAAAATATCGCAAAGGGTGGTTAATGACCAAAAGAAGTAAAAGCAAAGAATAGTAATATAATATGAAGGGAATTAATTTAAAATTATAAAAACCATTAAATCATCACTTTATATACCAAATATATTATTGTAATACCTGGTTTATACTCTCGCCTCGTACCTCGCCTCGCAGCTCGCGTGTTGTTGCGAGGTAACGAGTGCCTGTTTACACTCTCGCGATGCGTTCAGTTTGCGTTGAGCCAGCAACGATGAAAGACTTTGAAATAATAGCGACATCAACTCTTGCCTTTATAAGTGTTTATCGATGCTTGACCATTTAAAAAAAAGGAAATTAAAAAAAACCGTCGTTGAGGAAGAATATGGTGGATGATATCTATTCATCGAAACAAAACCTTTTCAATTATTTAATTTTATATAAATTGCTAGTACCTATTGTACAAGATTAAATAATATTATTTTATTAAAATTGTGATTTTAAAACAAAAACATTTCGAATGTTATTATGGAAGGGCGTAAACAAACTGAAACGAGAGCGCGAGCGTAAACACCACGCTCGCGTCTGAAAGAACTGAGCCCTGTTGATTTCAATGTTTTTCTCCGCATCACTCTCGACGCAAAACTTTAGTACTCCTCCATATATCCAAACTAGCAAGCAGACTAAGTTATAAAAAGCTTATGCTATAAAAAATATTAGAGGTCTCACTAGTGTCGAGACAGCTAGATTAGTTTATTTGAGTTATTTCTATAGCACATATAATGTCTTATGGGATTTTGCTATGTGGAAATGCGGCTGATTTATAAACCATTTTTGTTTTACAGAAGAGGGCCATTAGAGCTATTTGCAACCTAAAACCAAGAGAGTCTCTTAGAGAAAAAATTTAATTATTAAATATTTTACTTTGATCTCTCAATGTATTTACGAAAATTTAATGTATGTTCACAAAAACAAAGGTGGTTTTAGTAAAAAAGTGATAATAAACACTCTCTCATAACACACACACACAGATTTAGTAATTCATTATTGTGGCAATGTATATGTAGGAAGTATAATGGGTATAGTACAGAGACTAATTTTGTAGTTAGGAATAATAATTAATTCGTTTACACGAATTAATTATCCAATGAGTCGAGGATAAACTAGTAACGGAATACGACAAGTGTACCGTTCCACGTCAGAGCCAAGACTGCCTTAACGGCGGCCGCTCCGTCCGTTTTATACAAGCAGGACGGGCGGCAACGCACGTGCAATGCCGCAGGTGTGCGGTACACGTGTCGTTTACAAGAATTCTGTTTAGCTAGACCGACGCCACCGCACCCACAACGGTGCAGGTGCCGTCACGGCCATACTGACATGCGTGCGTCCTCGCACGCGCTCCATCACAATTTTTGTTATCTGTAGACAAAAAAACATCGTTCGACTATCCTGACATAACAGCGTCTGGTCCGGTCTATATTGACCCTTCAGACTTGGGTGACAGTCAGCTTTGTTCCGGCAGTAAGCCCTACAAAACTTTAATTATCTTTATGTTATATCGGAATGATTAGTCTGTAGCTTTTTTCTATTTTCTCTCTTTTTTTTTCAAGTACTGTTTTCGCTAGTCCGGAATAACTATTCCCTATAGCCATATCATTGGACCGGCACACAGCCCTGCAATGATAGTAAGAACTATTTTTTTTCTTAC